GGTTAGAAAATGACACAAAAAAAATCATTTATTTTGATCGTGATTGTGTTGTAGGTTCGTCAGTTGTTTGGTGTGGGCTAGTAACACGTGATGGGATTTTAGTTGACTTGGTGTTACATTTAAATAAGCTTCAGCTTTTTTGTAATTTCCATGTGTCCTTCAATGTATTCTTTCAATTTCGTGTGTTATTAGGGAATCTTTCGGTCAGTTACGAAAAGTATTCTTAGCCTTTATCTCACTGTTTTTACTGAGTTATGAAATTTCTAGTATTGCTGCATGCCATTATACAAGCAAATAAAAAAACTTCATAACTTTTGAAATAAGCAACAAGGATCCAAATCCTTTCAAGGTTATTACCAGGATACTATCCTCTACGACCTGGTTTAATATCGTAAAAAACAAATGTGGTCACCTGGGAACATTTTCTTGTGAGTACTCATTTTAACCGCCGATTGAGTCTGATGTTAGTCATTCCTGTTGAATACATCATGTTCTGGAAAAGAAAATCGATGTATCATCTGGCTTCAGGAAAAGAAGCTCTTCAGAGAGAAAAAAAACATCTTGTGGGAGAAATGTTCTAAGAGTTTGCAAACAAGGATAAATTACATGCTGCATAAAAAGTCAAATTATACATTGAACAAAAAGTTTTAACTTAAGAATTTCTCACATTAATGAATAATTTTCTGTTTTAGAACTGAGAAATTTTGACTATCGGATTTTTGCAAATTCGGTTCTTGCATATTGTCGAATCCTGCAGTCAGAAATAATCGGATATAACGAGCTAATCTAGGATTCTGATAGTCCCATCAGGCTATAGGAAAATATCGAAAACGTGTTGACTTCTTTTGAATATCCTCCGGATGATAGTCGTTTTTTATCTGAGTGGACAATTGAATTGGTACCAAGAAAGAGATGTTCTTTGTTTTAATTCAAGGTTTGTTTAAAAAAGTTTATAAGAGATTTATATATGTTCAACAGTATAGACAATGCCATAGCTTCCAGTGCAGACAATAATAATTAATAATATACTAATATATGTTCAGTTCGACTTCTCAAAAATAAGAAAAGGTAATTTTCTTTTTATATAGTCTCATTTATTCAATTTTTATTACATACTATGTTTCAAACAATTACTTATAAGTGCTTTTATTTAGAGAGCAAGAAAAAAAATTGGAATAAACTTTTTATATAGCTTCCTTTCGCTCAGTATAGGAAGAAGAAACCCTTTTAGAAGAGAGAAACAAAAATGAAATTTTGTTTATTAAGGACAATGGTGAGAACAAAAAAATGATATTAAAAAAATTCGATCACTTACAGGTAACAAATTTTTCATCGAAAATTCTCACACATTTTATATATTTCTCAAATCATATAGCAAAAAAAGAAAAAAATCATCGTCAAAAAACTTGAATAAAATATACTATAAAAGAAAACACGATTGTTCCCGTCGTCAATATAATTTTTTTTTTCTCTGTAATTATATGTTTATGTTTACCACGAAAACAGAGTTGTTGCAATAACAAACAATAGCAAATATAGCCGCCAGTGTTCAAATGCACAATACAATAACAAGACTAGAAAGAAAGTAAGTAACGATGTATATTAGCTAAAGTCGCATACATAGATTGCGAAAGATATTTTTGTTCTTAAACACTGATGTCAAATAATTCACAGTAGTTTTTAAGATTATCTACAAAAAGTGACATTTGGTATCTAAGGTAGAATAATGCTGTTTCTCATCAGTACCATCATAGACTTGTGATCACATTTAACAAATTGTCTGGTCGCATTGACAACGAAAATTTTTCTGTTAAAAACAACGGGGTTTAACACTCCGTTTAAGAAACGTATGAGACCACTTGCATACACTTTTCGAAATTCTACCAATTCTACCTTCTTTTTTACTGCCCAGTGAGACATAGTTCATTCTTAGCATTACACAGCGTATCTATGAACAGAATGCGGACACGCTAAGAAGGAAATTATGTCGCACTGAGCGACTGTTGGTCTTTGAGCTTGGACGATCACCCGGCATGATATAATTCATTCCTGTTAAAATAAAGAAGTTTTTCTGCTTACTTATATTTATTTGAGCTCTACACCTGTCAGAGCGAATGAAGTTCAATGTGAAGTAAATACATGAAGTGTTATTTTCTCTCTCAATTAGCGATTGTGCAATCTAGTTTGACAATATGTGATCGACATAAGCGAACCATCCTTGTGAGAAATAGAACTCTTATAGTATAATAACATTAAAATCCCTGTACAATTTTACAATGTGTACATTATAAGACAGTAAATCATACTACATGGAATAAAACTTTCTTTTCAAGTTCATAAGTTTAAACAATCTCGGAGCAATCATTGAAATTAGAGTAGGTTTAGTAACAAGGTCATATTATTATTCTAATATTATTAATATTATTTGAAGAGTTACTCTGACGTTCTATCCATGTATCTAATTGTTATGAAATGGTTTTATATACCGTTTCTGTTTATTTAATACTGTTAGACAAACACACATTATGTTTGAATTACCACTTTTATTTGAGAAATAATGTAAAGGGATAGGGCAAAAAATTAAATTTAAAAATCAACAAATCATTTTCTCTCTTCGTCCCTTCAGTATGAGAATAAAAAACAGTTAACTACGAAAAAAAACAAAACACTTATGATTAGTTAAAAAGAAATTCTAGTGTTAACATCCATTACATTTCAGAATAAGTTCAATTAGTTGAGATAGAAATGGAAAATATATGCTACAGTGAAATTTAAAATACCACTAGTGGAGATTGAAATTTTAAATTCTACTGAGTTTTAATTTCCATTATAACATATACATGTGTTTTCGATAAATTTCAATTTTCACTGAATTCTTGTCAGTGGAAATTGAAATTTTAAGTTCAACTAGTGGAGAATAAAATTTCAATCTCCATTATAGTGGGATTTTAAATTCCATCAGACAATAATGACTAACAGTCATATTTCAATCTCCACTATACTGGAAATTATAATTTGACTGACATGCTGCTGATAGTAAAAAGAATATCATTTTTTTATTGAAAATATTATTAACAATCACAAAAATATTTTTTTAACAACATTAAACGATTGAACGCACACTTTTTTTTTGGAGTGACATTTTGTAGAACATTTCAAATCTTTAGCTTGATATAGACAACTTTTGGTTTCACAGTCACGTTTACAATTGCACGCTTCAGCAATTATATTTCCATCTGTACTAGCGTAACTTTTACAACCTTGGATGAATGTAATAATTGGTAAACATTTGTAATGAATAACACGCAGATCGGAGAAATTGTACTTAGACGAGTCTGATAAATCATGGATACTAAAAGCAACTGACAACACACCTATCAATTGTACAACACTGTATCATCCAACGCTGATTGAATAGACATCACGTTACATGGTAAAAATAATATTTTCAATAAAAAAAAAGATATTCCTTTTACTATCAGCATCATGTCAGTCAAATTATAATGTCCACTATAGTGGAGATTAAAATTTTATTCTCGACTAGTTGAACTTAAAATTTCAATTTCCACTGACAAGAATCCAGTGAAAATTGAAATTTTAAACTCCACTAGTGAAGATTGAAATTTTAATTTCCACCATAACATATACATCTGTTTTTGATAAATTCACGTAAAAAGTATATGTTTAATTTACTCTTCTATAACACACTATTCGTCGTAGAAATGATATGCAAAAATCAGAATGTCTATATTTTTCATAAATAATATTTTTTTCACAAACATCAACAGCTTTTTTGTTAGCTGTATGATGCGGGGGCTCTTACATAGGTTAAAAATAAGTATTATGAAAAGAAACAGCGCTTGGATGATTTCAATAAATATTCTGTATTTCATAGTTCATAATTTTAGTGATTTTTAAACTTCTCTGTGTGACAATTTCTTTGAGATCTGCATCTAGAACAGTAGACTGTTTTTCCTGACTAAAGATGGGTAACAGTAATACATTCTAAATTAGAGATATCAGAATATAGTAGAATAATACATTGTCAATTTTGCCGTAATATAGTAAAATAGTAGCGGACTGTCGGTCTGCAAAGATAGAAAAGTATGGTTTCAGAGTTTCCATAGATTGATTCTTTCTCGATGAATCTCGATGAATAATGAAGAAAAAGAGAACAGGAGCACGAAAAGAGTTAAGTATTGTAGATCATGTTACTATATAGCGTTTTGTTCATGACAATAAAACACGTACTAAGGTAAAACACCTACACAGATAGCAGAATAAGAACATTGAATGAAATCTTAGTAGAATAATATTTATTTCATTCTTTTATCCTTTCTTTTTGATTTGATCAGAGAAACTAAGATTGAAGTAAAGGTAGATATGGATAAAAATAACATTCGATTATAGTTGGATGTCATGGTAATTTGTAATGATGAACAATTTTTTAATGGTTGTATACTATTGGGGTTTTATTTATAGCAGTCTTGAGAGGAGAAAAAACTTCAATTCTTTTCAAAAGTTAGGAAAACTTGAAGCAATAAAAGAGACAGATGAAAAGATTTTGAAGTTGGTAAAAGGCTGAATATAGTTATATACGAAAAACTTTTTAAGATGGTGCAGGAGGCTAAAAGTATTAATGTATCCAAAACAAAATCGACATTTTTATGTAAGTCTATATTCTGATATTTCTCTTCCAATTGAATTTAACAGAACTTTAACTTTTACTAATGATATATTTATGTATACTTGAAAAAATTTACTGAAAAAAAGGTAACTGAGTCGTAGCTTAATGTTTTCGTTGTAAATTTTCTTTTTTACATAATAAGATGAAGAGTATATGTCGCGTAGAGAAATATTTTTTGCAACGTTCCTACAAATAATCACTCACGTAATGTGTGAGGGTTAAAAGGCTAAACATTATATCAAAATTCTTAAGAGGCTTGTTCGTTATGTCGTACATATGTTTACATTTACGTATTTTAGTTTTTCAATAAACGATGACATCGACTTTCAATAATTCTACTGATTTGCTCACACCGACTCCATTTACGCTTCAAAATATCATCCAACTACCGATAACTCCATCCGATGGTAAGTATCCTCCATTTATATCAAACAAAATCCTTTACCTATTATTCTTTCCTTAGATCACCAACCAAAATTAGACGAAAACACTTTGATTGCAAACATAACCAAAGATGCAGCAAACGCTGCGCAAGAGAATCGATCGGGCAGTGCGAGAGCAAATGATGGATCACTAACATCAACAGTTAATGATTCATAGTGAGTGTAGAACAATTATGTCGCCTTTTTTCATATACGTGGTTTTTCTTAAGTTATAGTTTTCCTGCTGCTTCCAAAACATCTACATTTGAGCCAGTGCCGACATCGTACAGTAATACTGTACCATTGGATAAATCTGAAAACTCCACGAATCTTGACAGCGATATTAACAATGAAATCCAAAAAGATATGAAATCTCTCATAGAGGAGATAAAACGTCCAGTGACACCAGGACATCCTATAACGCCTACATCGACTTATACCGCTGGCACATTTCCACCCAGCCGAAAAACATCTGTACACTTCACTAACGATGATGTACCACTAACCAACAGTGAACAGCATCTATCGTCACCTCGTCCAACAACACCCGATCAAACACGTAGAAAGTCATCAGATATACGAGCATCAAATGAACCGATATTAACATCCAATGAAAAACCGTTCGATGAACAATCGCCATCAACTATTGCACAAGGTAATGACACTTCATCGTCTGACGATTATTTTGGCATAAAATCCAGATCACCAAATGAAAATAATACTGACTCTACCATAAATGTACCACAAAGGTTGCCCCAAGTACATGAAAGTTCATCATCCGATGATTTTTTTGGTATGACACCATCTTCTGCACGTAGAGATGATTCACAAAAAGTTGACAAATTAGCAACAGATGATGAACAAAACGTGCTTAAAAAAGATCCAGATGAAACAACACATTTTCAGACAACGAAATCAAGAGAACCATCGGCTGGAAGCCGTAGATTATCAGATGTTCAAGCATCAAACGAACGAACATCAACGTCCGATGAAAAACCGTTCGATCGACAACCACCATCAACTATTGCGCAACGTAATGATAGTTCGTCCTCTGATGATTATTTTGGCATAAAATCCAAATCACCAAACGAAAATAATACTGACTCTACCATAAATGTACCACAAAGGTTGCCCCAAGTACATGAAAGTTCATCATCCGATGATTTTTTTGGTATGACACCATCTTCTGCACATAAAGATGATTCACAAAAAGTTGACAAATTAGCAACGGATGATGAACAACAAGCGCTTAAAAAGGAACCAGATGAAACGACAACGAAACCAAGAATACCATCAGCTGCAAGCCAAAAATCTGCACAAATTGATACTGAGGTTAGTTCCCTTACTTTAATTCAATTAAAATTTTTGGTAGCGCTTGTTGATTATTAAAACCCAGCACCAGTAGATTTCCTATAAACAAATATCTTCTATGTCACATACCAAACGGGTTTTAATTTTATATAACAGTACAAGAAGTTTTGAACCGCTCATGAAGATTACACGATTCTATTGCCGAGTTCTTTTATGAATTACTGGTAAGTCACAATTATCGTGCACCGACCTTATGTAATTCGGCTTTTGAATGTCCAGCAAATTATCTCAAAAATGAGAGTGATGTTTAATAACTTCATTTTTTCACTGTGAAAGACTGTCGCCAATGCCAAAAAAAGTCTTCAACTATTATACGACCTATGCAAATATTTGTTCGTTTTATTATTTTAGCGTAATCAATTAAATGAAAAGCGAAGTAGTATCGCTGATATTCAAAATGGGGACATATCGACGAATGCTAGACGTTATTCTTCAACCAATAACGAAGGTCATACGAGTCCTCCAGCATCACCGATTGTACATCCGACATCGTCGACACCCGATGACCAAACAACACGTATACAATCAGCTAAAATCCCTTCTCGTGTCACCAGTCCACAAGTCAGAGAAAATGTAGTAACAACAAATCGTTCACGACCACAAAGTGCTGTTCAACAACAAACACAAGAACCTGAAACACTGCCTGTCACACGATCGAGACCACAAAGTGGAGTTAATCAACAAAGTGCTGAAACTGGTCAAGAAAATCCACAGATAAATGGTGAAACCATGATTGTAAATCAATCACGACCTCACAGTTTAACCGATAATGAAAGCCGTAAAATACTATCTCCTACTACCAGTCCACAGCAAACGAATGAAGAAACGGTAGTCAATCGTTCACGCCCACAAAGTGGAGTTCAACAACAAAATAAAGTTTCATCACGTATTACTAGCCCACAACAAACAAATGACGAACCTACAACGCAGACTCGTCGTGAAAGCGTCGTTCATGATTCGGGTAAAAGACCATCTGGCACAATTAGTCCTCACCAAACAAATAATGAAATAACCGCTACTACGTATACTCCACCTCATAGTGGTGCTGAGGATGAAATCCGTAAAACACCATCACGTACAACTAGTCCACAACAAAGTCGTTCACGCCCGCAAAGTGCAGTTCAACAACAAAATAAAGTTCCGTCACGTGTTACTAGTCCACAACAAACAAATGACGAACCTACAACGCAGACTCGTCGTGAAAGCGTCGTTCATGATTCGAATAAAAGACCATCAAGTACAACTAGTCCGCAAAGTGAAGTTCAACAACAAAATAAAGTTTCATCACGTATTACTAGCCCACAACAAACAAATGACGAACCTACAACACAGACTCGTCGTGAAAGCGTCGTTCATGATTCGAATAAAAGACCATCAAGTACAACTAGTCCGCAAAGTGAAGTTCAACAACAAAATAAAGTTCCGTCACGTGTTACTAGCCCACAACAAACAAATGACGAACCTACAACGCAGACTCGTCGTGAAAGCGTCGTTCATGATTCGGGTAAAAGACCATCTGGCACAATTAGTCCTCACCAAACAAATAATGAAATAACCGCTACTACGTATACTCCACCTCATAGTGGTGCTGAGGATGAAACCCGTAAAACACCATCACGTACAACTAGTCCACAACAAAGTCGTTCACGCCCGCAAAGTGCAGTTCAACAACAAAATAAAGTTCCATCACGTGTTACTAGCCCACAACAAACAAATGACGAACCTACAACACAGACTCGTCGTGAAAGCGTCGTTCATGATTCGAATAAAAGACCATCAAGTACAACTAGTCCGCAAAGTGAAGTTCAACAACAAAATAAAGTTCCGTCACGTGTTACTAGCCCACAACAAACAAATGACGAACCTACAACGCAGACTCGTCGTGAAAGCGTCGTTCATGATTCGGGTAAAAGACCATCTGGCACAATTAGTCCTCACCAAACAAATAATGAAATAACCGCTACTACGTATACTCCACCTCATAGTGGTGCTGAGGATGAAACCCGTAAAACACCATCACGTACAACTAGTCCGCAACAAAGTCGTTCACGCCCGCAAAGTGCAGTTCAACAACAAAATAAAGTTTCATCACGCGTTACAAGTCCGCAACAGCCAGAGCATACAGAAAGTGCTCATCAACAGCCCAAATTCGTCTCTGATTCAGAAACGACAGACTTTATTAAAGCCGGCGAACAATTAGAAATTCCGGACATTAATTCACTCGATGCCAATTTAGCGGCTAAAAACTTAGCAGTAATGAATCCACTCAAAAGGAATAGTATTTCTAATGAAGAAGAGCGGCCAGTTGTCATTGTTAAACAACCTAGTCGAAGATCAAGCCAGGCAAGTGATCAACAAAAACAGTCGAACAATGATCAAACAACACCTCGGGCTAGTCCGACAAATTTCATCCCAGACAAAAATACTGAAAATCAGAGCTCTGATAGTATTACCGATCAAGAAAAAATAAAAGCTGTAAGTTCAACGGATTCTAGAAAGCATAGCATTGGAGATCGTCCACGGAATGTCGACAATGATGACAACGATGCAAGACCATCAAGTCGTCGTGGTAGCGTAGCTCAAGAACCGAATGTTAAACATCATAACCGCACTTCGAGTAATGTAAGTGCACAGCGTTTGCTGGATAATGAGCAAGATAGTGGTAGTGGTAGAGATGACAATCAGGACAAAAAGACACTCAGTCAAATAAGTTCACAACAAAAACAGCCTGAAAGTCTACGCATTGATCATAGTCGAACGCCAAGCAACGTCAGCAATCAGAGTGATCGACAGAAAACAAACGTCAGTCCCATAAGCTCAAAAAAAGACGATGATCAAAAATTGAGTGGTAGTCGAACCCAGAGTTCGATAAGTAATGACAAGGTAATTGATGGTGATACTGTGATTCCTCCTCGTGATGATCAACAACTAATTCCTTCTGCTAGTCGTCGATCGAGTAAAATAGACAACAAACCGGAACAAGAACGATCATTACAGCCAAGTAGTCGTAAATCAAGTGTTGTTCAACAATCGGAGGTTAAACCTCGTTCAGCGATTAAACATGATGCAACCGAATCTGACTCTGCTAATTATCGAGCCCCTGCGGCGTCTATAAGGAACGATTTTCCTCTATCTGATACTGACAACTATTTGAATGACCAACGTCGAGTAAGTGAAACATCAACATCAACTAGACAATTTCAAAGACAATCATCAGCCAGGCAGCAAGATGAAAGAAAATCAGCAACAAGCGGAGGAGAAAAGGTGTATGAGAAAGTTACAACTGAACCCTTTGTTGAACCAAGTAAACAAAGACAATCAGCACAGGTAAATAGTATTACTATGAATACCAAACTCGCTGAGAAATTACTCTATACTGATAACTTGATGTTTCTTTTTTAATAGTCCACTAAAAAACGTACATCGATCACCACTGATTCGGAACATGAATCGCAAAAATTACCCCTGATAAATCAGCAACAAAATCAAGAAAAACGTCGAACTTCTATCACACAGAAACATCAAGAACAGGGCTCGTCTGACCAAAAGCGTCATCATATACCACCATCGCCAGCTACTCGCAAAGAAAACAATCGGACACTACCTCGTCATTCACAAGATTTAAAAACGCCAACGAGTGATGAAGACATAGAAAATATACCTGCATACTTGAGAGCAGTGAAAATACCACCGTTAAACCTTGATGAAACCATGCCAGATAATCGACCCTTGTCACCGTCCGTTCAACAAATAGCTGAAAGAAATCAATCTCAAGAACAAAAAAGAATAAAGAAAAAAAGTGGAATTAAAACGAAAACAGAGCATGCTCTCGAAGGTAACAGCAGCTATTTTGTGCAGAACTAATATGTAAAAGGAATGTGAGAGAAATTTCCATTTGTCAAGATGTCCAAACTAGATTAAAGGTTATTATTTAAAACGTTTAGTTATTAGATATATCAGACAAACACAATTTTGCTATTATAATGTTGATTCTTCCTTAATCCTAAGAGCTGAATAATTCACCATGTAGAAATATTCATTCAACTCTGGCATATTAAGACTGAGTACTCAAATTTTTCTTCTTTCATAATTAGATTTCTAGCGAGTCATAATAATCTTTTGTTTTCTAATCATTAATGATAAATCTCGAAGTGGCAATGAATTAATATTTTATTATTCCTTTGTATAGACGTTCAAAAGAAAGTTGATCATCTTTTACATCCGAAAAAACGACGTAGTTCAAGTGCAGATAGTCATATACCATTAGCTGATGGTCATTCAGTTGGATCAACATCTGGAAAAGATACTGACTTTGATAACACACGTAAAATGCGTTCAAAAAAACATGATGCTTCAACTGCTACCGAGAGAGATGAATATTTTTATAGATCGTATCAACAACAACAACAAAGGAATTTCTTTGATGAACAAGGTGAGTGATGAATAACTTCAAAAGAAAGACGTTTCTGAAAGATCCGTGCGCTTTTTTTCTAGAATTACTTTCAACTAAACCGGTGAAAACCATTAAACCTCAGTCAGAACGTCGTCGTAAAGAACTAGTAGCAACACCTGGCACTGGATCGGATACAACAGCTATTGTTCATAAAACAGCTAGAAGTTATAAAGATGATACAACACCGGTTAACGTAAATGTGACCGTTGTTGTTAAGAAAGTTCAAGGTGGTGACTCACTGACCCCTGACGTGCAAATTGAAAAATCTTCAACAAAACCAAAATTATCACGTTCAAAAAAAGTTGAACAAACTGTAGATACTACCCCAACCTCGACACCGGCACTTGATCAACGACAGGAAATCAATAATCAAAAGAAAACAGAAGATGAACAACATCAGAAAGTGGATGAATCACCATCTCAACAACCATTATTTGAACCCGTTCAAAAAAAATCCGTGACGTCTCATCAAGATCAGCCCGAACCACTAGTTGTTACAGAAATTAAACGTCCTCAATCGATAGAACAAAAATCACATGACACCAATGATTTATTTAGTCGACATCATCAAGATGAACGACACGTACAATCGGATAGTGAACAATTTGTCACAGCAAAACAGCAAAAACGTCGACGACCAAAACGTATATCACGTACAACACAAACCTATGACAGAGTGTTTAGACACATGTTCAAAGAAGAACAACAACAGTTGAGATATACAAGTGACACAGAAAAGCAAATACAAACGCGAAAAAGTGCACTGCGACCACGAAAAAAATCTCCAAAAAAGCATTTTCCGTTGTATTTATCAGCAGATACATTTAGGTTAGTGGAATTTATCATTTTTATGATATTTTTCTTAGCAATATACTAATGGTTCTGTAATGTAGTTTTCCATTAACCAGCAACAAAACTCTTCTTGCTCTGTGAGTGATGGTTCACAGTCAAAATGATTTCATTCAGAAATTGTGAAAATCGTCATTTTTGATTAAACTATTGCAATACTGGGAGATACCAAGTTTGAAAAGTAATAACAATGATATAATGATTCTAGTAGCTAGTATAATCTCTAACGTAAGATTAATCTACGATGAAAAGTAATTGGGCAAGCATTACTCTGATCTGCTGAAAAGTTAATCATTTTTCTGCAGGAAAGACTAAAGCCTGAACTTTAAAAAAAATTGAAAACAACCATTTTTGTAGTTGAATTTGAGTGAGAAAAATTAAAATATCAAGTGTCCCCGAAGAACTCTTGTATATTCTGACTTCTTTAAACGTATCTCTCTCGTCAAACGTATTTTTCTCCGATAAGAAACTGTGTTTGAAATCAAGTAATTATTATATCGTTTGAGCCCTGAATAAACAAATTTTTGATGTTTGAACTTTCCGATGGAAAATAGTGCTTTTTACCAAAATTAAGTTTTATATACGTTTTCTTTTCTATTGAGAAATTACCGAGAGATTTTTGCACCGGCTACATTCTCTTTGAAAAGAAGCTTTTTTCGTTCAGAGTGCAGTATAAAAACAAAGAAAAAGTAGCTTTTTTGTTGACATTTGATTTTTTAATTTTTCTCACTCAAATTCAACTACAAAAATTTTTGTTTTCTATGTTTTTTTAAGGTTCAGACTTTGGTCTTTCCTACGGAAAAATAATTAACTTTTCAGCAGATCAGAGTAATACTCGACATTTGTCCAGTTACTTTTGGATCGTAGATTAGTCCTAGAGATTATACTAGAGGCTAGGATCATTATATAAAGGTTTTGCGAAGGTTTCTAGCTGTGTAAAATGTATAACCATGGAGACATCTCAACTAGAGTGTAGTTACGAGATCGAAAGAACGAATGTGTGACCAATATTTTGTTCAGAAAGATTTTTTTAAAACTATTTTATTATATTAGCTGTAGACAGTCTAATATGCAACTACGATTACACTCTTTTGATAGACTTTTTGATAATACATTCCCAATTGATCTGAAATACGAACTTTCAGTCACAGATTAAACGAATCACAAATGAAATTCGGTTATTGTACCAATATGAATAATACAAAATATTTTATGCTGAAGAATATTTGAGATTTATAATTTGATAAAGAGGAAGAGAAGTGTCGTGAATGGATAGAAAATTTATTAAGGAATTATTTTTAACAAATAATGTTACCCTATGTTTTTTTTCTAGGGTTGAAGATTTAATACCTAAACAATTTCATCAACCACGTCGTAATTTATCAAAATCTTCAACTTTGGGTCGTAGTCTTTCACCCCAAGGTGGAAAAGTACTTATTCTCCGTCCAACATTACCATTACATCATTCGGATGCTGTTAATGTTCATCGTGTATGTTTACAATATGCAATTGATTTACAACCTACAAAAAATCAATTAAATCTCTCATCACGAGATAAACAACAACAAAATCAAAGCTCAAACAATAATTCATCTCTTCCAATGTTAGCAACAAATTCAAAATCAGCAGTGAAACGTTCTGAAAACAATAAAAATTCACTACCAGCTATTGAACATGATCAACATATATCTCATCATCGAGGTGGGGCTGTTTGAGAGAGAAAAAGAAAATTATTTTCTTTTATTCATGTCTGTAACAAACGGCGTTGGTTTGTGTGTGTGGGTGTTTATAAGAAACGAAAAAAAAACTTATATATTTTGATATATCCATAAAGTGCTTTTATTTTTCTATAACAAAAAAAACTATTGTTTAATTTCATTTTCTATGCAACAGTGTTGACAAGGAATTATCTTGATCAATATCAACAAAACAACAACATTTATATAATCAGAAGAGGATCTTGACATAAGAGGAAAGGATATAAAAATACATATTCTGTTAGAAGCGGTATAAAATTTTAAAAAATTCTAATTGAAACACATTTTGTTTACTACTATTTTATTCAGCCTAAAAACTAGTAAAGTAATAATAATAATAAGTTCTATTTTTGTTATACATAATTGCCATATAGAAAATAGATTAGAGTTTTCTCTTTTAGCGTATCTTTATCTTTTTCTTGATGTCGCATGCAGATCTCTGTATGTCAGACATCAGGACACATACAAAAAGAAGGGGTGTTCTGCATGTAACATCAAGAAAAAGATAAAGGTACGCTAAAAGAGAAAACTCTAGTGAATTATGGCTACACAAACTCACACAAGTATATGAGACATAAAAATATGACAAGAGACAATTTCTGTACGTTGTTTTTGTCATCACTGGGAAACTGTAAATAGCACTTTTTCATTTTTTTCTATTTTATAATTAAAATAGAAAATATTAATGGGAAAATATTAATGGACCACAAATAATACAATTACGAATTTGATTTTTAACGCATTAATAATAATTAATCACTTTTATAATATACAAAGTGATATTTCAATATTTTAATTAAAAATTAAAATGTTTTGAAGCTGTACAGAGGAAAAACAGAAAAATTTCAGTTATTATAGGATACCGCGAATGCCTATTTTATGCATACTTACCATAAAATTTTAAAAAGTCGACTGTTTAAGATATTTTCTATCTAGATGTTACTCGACCACCAATAACAAACGCTCCGCTGGCTATACCTTTAGCCAGATAATCTTTCTTGCATCTTCATCAGAAAATCCGCATAAAACTCTGTCTGATACCGAACCGTTACATACACACTCATCTTAGACTAGTATGGAGCATCAAACTTCTTCCATGTTATTTACCAAGTTTGAAAGTATTTTTGAGGAAGGATGTGAACAACTTAGTATGGTTTTTCTACGTCGTAGTCAGCATCAGAAGGCTTGAACATTTGGCGTAAGTATGAAATATGGGTTTATGAAACTTCTAAAGCTGTTAACATGTCCACTGGGGGCGGGCACTTTCGACATGACTTTTATAGAATAAGTAGAAGTTTTTATATATAAATATGAAACTAGACTTGAATAATTATATTTAAGTAACTTTACAACCGCTTTGTAGTTACTAGAGACTCAGACAAAATTCATTTCTGAAAGAATCAAAAGAAGATACCACGACCGGTTTCGACCTTTCTAAAGGGTCTCGTCAGGTGGTTTTCTTCGAAAAAGACAGAGTTAACGCACGACAAGCAACATAACTCCGTCACACCGTATGAGGGTGTTACTCTTGTTTTCTCCTTCTTTTTTCCATAATGAGGGTGTCACTATTCCTTGTTCTTATCGAACAAAGAACGACAATTTTCACACGACAAGAACGAAACATGATATCACGTGACAGTACTATACAATACACATGTTCTGCTTCTTTGTATTAAGTAATTCTTTAAGAAAGACTTAATAGAGCTCTACAGTTTAGCGTATCTTTATCTTTTTCTTGATGTCGCATGCAAAGTATGCTTTCTTTTCTGTATGTATCCTTATGTCTGACATACAGATATCTACATGCGACATCAAGAAAAAGATAAGGATACGCTAAATGGTAGAGCTCTAATGAAATAGAAATGTAATAAATTCAAAGAAATACTTAATGTAGAGAAACAGAACATGTGCATTGTACAGTGATATCGTACGTCGTTCTCATCGTGTGAAAGTTATCGTTCATTGTTCGATAAGAACAAGGAATAGTAACATCCTTATGCGGTGTGATGGAGTTATGTTGCTTGTCGTGCGTTAACTCTGTCTTTTTCGAAGGAAACCACCTGACGAGACCCTTTAGAAAGGTCGAAACCGGTCGTGGTATCTTCTTTTGATTCTTTCAGAAATGAATTCTGTCTGAGTCTCTAGTAACTACAAAGTGGTTGTAAAATTAACTAAATATAGAAGTTTTTATATCCGCAAGATCGAATCATTCTAGTTTTGTTCATAAACAGTCAGACCTGTGTGAAAGTTCACTAGTGATAGATGAGACGTCGTGTCAGACGATACAAATATGATATTTTTCTAGTTATTTTTTAGTGAGTTTAATCTATGCTAACTACTTGTCTTTTTTATTAATTACAACAGCTATTTTTCGAAAAGTAAGGTATTTTATTGTATAACGTACACAGTAAAGAAATGCATATTGGCATGCATTCATGTGTCAGTTTTAATTCCCGTTATTTGCTAAATAGTCATCTCTAATTTGTCTCACATCTTGTAATAGTGTCTCACATCCGACTATTGTCGTGTTATACGGAAAAAGAACACTTATTTTAGGTGGATGATTGGTAATAATCGCTAACCATTCTGATCCACTACCACCGCAATCTGGATCGGACTGACAATTTCCAATTGAACCGCTAATTGTACGAAATTGTTGCAAATCAATCGATTGAACCAATTGATTAAAATCTACCGTATTATAAGCTTGTTCATCTTGAAGTTCGGGAAATACGTCTGTTTGAGAACTTCCTTTAGTTGTATAGATAGTGGATGATGTTATTAGCACGTGTTCATAACAATAACCAGCACACGATGCAAAACCGGTGCCACTACCAATAGAAAGAATAATTTCAGATCCATCAGTGGTTGTTGTTACTGACTCAAAATCTCCTTTGATTGCAACAAATAGGCCGATGAAGAATAAAAGAGAACTTTTTGACATATTGGAAGATAATGCAACTTTTCTAAATAAACATAAGGAAAATGAAACATTCTATATTAAGCACAAGTTCAGGTTTATTCATCATTATTCTTACTGAATCATGAGATTCACTAAGTAGTAAATTATAAAATTCAATTTCTGTGTGCAAGACAGAGGTGTATGATCGAAATAAGTTGTCAAGAGGATGATATTAAGGCTCGATAGTATCAAAACCAGATTTTCCATATAAAAACAGTGTTCACCGAATTTTAGTGTTCCGTCATAAACATTTTTTTTTGCGGTTCATTTCAAGCATGTGTGGCTAGCGAAAAAATCTTTTCCATGAACATTGAATCAAAATTTGGTGGACACCGGTTTTTGTATGGAAATTTTAATATTACCGAGCTTTAATGTATTCGATTTTATCAACTTATTTTGGCCATTTGGAAAAACTTATTTTCCCATTTTACCGTTTATGCTGTAGGTAAAACTAGAATTCAGGCAAATGCGAGGTTTCCAAGGGGGAAAAAACAATACTTCACTATACTACCAGGGATTGTCCATTACACACCCACTACATCCCCGTGACCACTACAAAGTCACTACAAGTCCACTACAAGGCTACTGCAGGGTCACTAGAAGGCCACTACCGTAGTGGAAAAAGTGTCGTGTAGTGTTGTTTTTTCCCCCTTGAAGCTTTCACTAGGTAAACTTAAACTTATCTAATAAAACATGAATTTGTCAATATTTTCTACAGGCATTTCTCGAATCCAGGCAAATTTTAAAGCTGCATAGGTGATCCCCTTATTGGAGATTCGTCGCAGCCCTTACTGGATGATTGCACTCATCATCAGATTTTAAATCTACTGAAATTCTTGGTTATAACATGAATTTTACTTTAAAAATTGGATTTAACATCTATTGGGACTTCATGAATCATTCGGACACGTTAAGAGCATTCGGCGAACACCACAGTCATCATAGTATGACAAAAGGCAGAATTCGATGGACGTGCATGCAGAATAGGATTTTTCTTAGAAAGGCTGTTTCTATTGTATTTCTGCTTTTGTCACTCACTGTCACAACTGCGGTGTCCGTCAGATGTTGCTAATATATTTTACAGTTTTTTAATTGAAAATTCATCGTTTTGCCAAAAGTTACCTATTCAATTTATAATTTTCATGAATTCGAGAAATGCTGGTAAGTGATATTAACAAATCCATGTTTTGTTTGATAATCTTAAGCTTGTCTGGTCGATTCTCAAATTTACCTAGTTAGAATCGATTTATGGAGATACAAGCTTAGAAGTCTAGTTTTACCTATAATATTTTCGGTATTTTTCTGTTTGCTTTTAAGTCGATACAATGTTATTTACATAATCGATGAACACAAATATGAAATTGTTTTGGACAATTGTATAGTTTAGTTATGAAAAGTATCTTAATGTTTTTTCTTTACAGTCTATTTGGCTCACTTATACAATATACAATTTACTTAATACAATTATATAAAAGAAAAAAGAAAATTATTTTTTGAAACAACAATGCGAATCTTAGTGTAAAAAATGCAAAAAATTCACACGTGATATGTAAAATCAAAGCATAAAATTGCCATTTCTTCAGTTTCAAAAGACAGCACATACTCGTCATCTTCTTACAAAATAAAACAAACAGTGATGCATAATCAGTGTTTAGTTCGTATGTGTGATCATATAGTACTTACTACTCTACACTCCTCATTCAGTATTAGCTCTAAATAATTGTAAAAGGAAAACCAAAATTTTTCTAAGCATAAAAATAATCTCTCAAGTAATCTCTCTAAAAGTATTTATGATCTCTTATTTATTAATTTGTAACAACCAAATCTTTTACTTATGTAACATCTATAGTCGATCGAAGAGTCCTCTCATCTTCTTCGACAATCTACATCCAGGGGTAAAATAATTGACAAAAAAATGCGTTAAAGGTTTCAAAACTAACGCGTTTTTCGAAAATTCACAACGAGTTAGAGAAAGCGTTTCTCGATGAATGTGAATGACAATGAAACCGTCAATTAATGCGTTTTGAAATAATTCAAAGATGAAAAAACAGAGGGAAGATACAGAGGTTTGAGCCCTCAACTTTTGTTCTACCTATTTGTTCTACGTGTCCCATTCGGTCATATTCTCTTGACATTACATTAGCTAACAACAAACTAATGGAGAGCAGTGGAATGAGTACTTAGCAGTTCGAAATAATGAAAAATTTCAATTTCAAGAAAAAATCCTTAGAAATGGCACGAAAAACGCGTTTTTTGTGCAAATAAAAACAGTTCTGGACTGAGCATGTCATCTGCTCGACCAAAACCTCTATTCTAATTGGTTCCACTTGTAAAACAAAGCTCGCTTCGTCTTTTAAGACAGATAAGATTCCTACAACGTGAAAGAGACACTGCCTTCCGTAAACAAAAAACCAAAAGCCATTCTCCTTGGCTATGTAAAATTTACAAACACTCAGAAATTTGTCAATTCAATCTGTCCATAGAGATAAAAAACAGGTTATTTTAATCAATAATGAAAACATTTTCATGTAGTAAATGGTAAGTATGATAAGTAATACTTATCCACCTATGTCACTTACTATTAACGATATAAAAATTGAACACACAACAGCCATAAAATTACTTGGCATGAGACTTGTTCATGACCTGACTTGGAAACACCACTTAGAATATATTGCGTCTAATTGTACAAAGATGTTGAGATCTATTTCTCCTATGTTTTGGGGATGCTTCAATATTGTTACGTCTTCACTTGTATAAAACTTGCGTTCACCCGGCTTTGGAGTATGGTTCTATCGCTGATAATTCATTATTTATTATTTTTCGTTCACTTAGACAATGTACAGAATCTAGCATGTAGAATCATACTTTAAGACTATGTATCCAGTTCCACTATCATTTCGAGCCAGTTGAAGTTACCACCATTATATTGCCGGAGAAAATTTTCACATTTAGTTTATTTCCATAAGCTTTACCATAGTTACAGTGTTCTTTCTCATAGCAGTCTTGTCGGTCGTCCAACCACCCGTTCAACTGAGAGAAACCCGTTTAACAATCGGACCCAGTGCAAGAACTACACCCTAAAATCTGCTTCCAATTTTTTTGTACCAAAAATTATAGAGACCTGAAACAAATTGCCTTGTACTGTTGTACATCAAAATACACTAAGAGCACTTACAAGTGTATTAAAACAACATCTTTTCACTGTCTAAACTTTGCTGTGTATGTGTAAGTATGAGTTTTTATTTTATCTGGTGTTTCATTTAAACAAGCTTTAGCTTTCTTGTAATTTCCATGTGTTCTTTGCGAAAATAAATTCCCAAAGCCACGCGAAGTCTCGTCAAGTGTGGTTTTTATAAAAATCTATGTAGAAAAATATAGCACAGCAATATCCGAATCATACATGCTGATAGGCATCAGTGTCTGCTACAAACTAACTAGTTACCGAGATCAAGTTCGGATTAAGACAATATTGATACATATTATTTATTTACATATCGAAGTCAAACAATATAATAACATCGCAAATCTCTCCAATAAATAATAGTCGACTAGAGATTACCTGTTATGATTAAAATAAAAATTAATAAACTTGAAAACAAGTATGCACCATCTTCTAGAGTACACTTTTCTGTATCTGAAATATATTTAGTTAGCTCGAGCGCATTAGCTGATAAATTATAGAAGAAAATATCAGTTTATCATTTACAGTTTGTGTGTAATATATAACATGATTGATTGTGAGTGAAGAAATAAAGAAAAGAAGAATCCTCAATTATTTTATAGAATTTTGAAATATTTATTCTAGGCTTGCTTTTCAATTATATAAGTGGCTTACCAATTGGCGTTTAATCAACCAAAAACTTGTACAAAACGTCCAAATTAATTTCTCATTTTTCCATTTTCAATTTATTATTACAATTTTTTATGCTACTTCGAAACAATAACCCTTGATTTCTCATGATTTCTAAGACCGCTAAAGGAGCAGACATTTTTCCGGACCAGTTTGCAACGGAATTTAGACGTTGTTTTTTAAAACAAATGCATGCCCCTTAAAAAGAGAAAGATAAACAATTTTCGTCAGTGCATTACCATGAAATGTTGACAAAAATGAGTTAATGTAGCAGTTACTGAAAATACTTTTGAATTTGATCATTCTGTGCGGTTCTAGATAAAAGGGACTATTACATCAATTCGTTACTGATTTCTATTCCTTGAATAAAGTATGATCCATTCGGTATGTTAAGCTAAAATTTCTATACAAAGTGTAACTCGTTGATTTACATTTCTGGTTAAAAACACCGTCCCCACAGCTACTTTTTCATATTATTTCCAATTTCCTTTTGCTGCAAAACGCGAAATTCAACGTGTTTTGCATGTTTTAGTAAAACAATAATCGAGAAAGCTATACATGTTGATCCAAAAAAGTTCAATTGGAAACTTCTAGTTTCAAAACACCTAGAATACCATTCCAGCAATTTTGAATTTGAACTCGGCTTCGAATAATATTGTCGATTTTTTGGTTTTTTCAACTTCAAGATTCGACTTTTCCTTCGCCTTGAAATGTTGAATTTTTATACGGAAGATTCTAATATAAGTTATTAACAGAGAGAGATGATAGAATGAGGCGAGATATCAGCTAACATCAGCAGTGCCTGTATTCTTTCAATGCCGGAAGTTACCTTTTCCAAAGAGAATTTCGAGACTGTGATAGAAATATCTCATAGTAAACTCCTTCGCAAAGTGGAGAATTCTGAAGTAGCTAAAGGACTCCGAGAATTTCTCCTCTAAGTATCTAAGAATTTTTTATCAATTTGGCGCAAGAAAACGAAAAGTCAACTAATAAAAAATAATATCAACCAAGAAGAGACAAAAAAACGCAAAATACCTAAAAGAAACCGTACGTTTTGTTCAACAGTACATATATGGAGAAAAACATTTAATTTGACTATTTTTTCCAGACTTGGAGAGACTTTTTTTGCAAATTATTCATAAACATTTTCTAGTAATTCATTCTAAATATCTTTGCTCGGGCACTGCTACTTACTAAGATAAGAGGTTGTTTTTGTATTAGAAAAGATGTAAGAACACATGGTAGTTATTGAAGTTAAAATAATTCCCAATGAGATACAGAGGCATCTTTTCGTATTTCCATTAGTGCACGCTTCATTTGATTAGTACAAAAAATGAAAAAAATGCAGTCTGACATGGTTCAGTGCGGAAAATCTCCAACAATTTGTGGATATCCTTCATCCTTGATATTTCTCTGGAATTTTAGTATCAATGTATATCGCTTGTTCCTTCGGAGTAATAAATCACTTCTAAAGTTTTATACATGGCATCGAATCATGCAAAATTCCCGCGGTCTTTCTTTTGACCTTCACAGAAAGCGATCGGTCTGCTACAGCTACAAATATACGCGTCACAGAACTGTTCACATCTAAGTAACTAGCCGGACTTGAGCAGAGATATTTAAAATTAGCTACTGGATATACTTTATAAACAATTTACAAAAAGATTTCCTTCTTCTGGAGCGTGACCATTCTGTGAATTTTCACCAATACAAAGTTAGACATTTTCTTAGCTCTTACAGACATGAAAAAGTGCAGAGCAGGGGAAGCAGTGTGCGAGTTAGCTGGAAAAGTAGTTTTATACCAAAGATAGTTGCAATGTGAGCATCGTCGGTGAACAACCACTGACAGCACTTTGAAATATAGCACAACCATCTAGAAGGTATCTTAAGACTATCCCTCCACTTTTTGGGGCTGTGATAATAAAAACTAAAATTTACTAAAGCTTCGTATTTTCAGAATTGATTGGAAACTCGATGGGCATTTTTTCGTTTTTGTTTCAAGTTCTTAACTATTGCTGTTCACGAGTTTTCCAGAAAACTTGCTTTTTCATTGTGTCACATTTCGACCCCCCTTAAATTTCATCAGATAGAGTTAAAAATTTTACTAGAGACACTCAAGGTAATATCACACGTATGTTTTAAGACCTTTTCTTATCGAGTTGTAGGAAAAATACTGAAAAACGTCTCAAAGGTTTTTCAATTTTAAAAATTCCATAACTCGGTAAAGGAACTTAAAGGGGGTCGTACTAAAACACAATAAAGCCCGGTAGCAAAAAAATAGTTTGCAAGAAAAACGTATTTTGTACATAGGTCACTTTTTTCAGGGCATTTGCCGCGATGCTTATATTTCCACAAAAACTCATCGGGATATTCTAAAAAATGTCTCATTGTGAAGAAAACACTTTCTTCTATCAGACTATATGCAAGAAAAAAGTTTGAATGTAAAGAAAATGAGAGGAAAGTTTATGAGACTAAAAACTGAGTACTTTTAGACTTTGAAGGAAAAACTTCAAAAATGTGTAACTGTTTGAAGAGAGGTCGTGGACTGCTGGGAGTGGTCTCATTCTCCTCTACGTTAGGCTATGCTCAGCGTAAAATTCGAAATTTTTTCAAAGAACAGGGGCGAGGTAATAGTCGCGTAGCCAGGATTTTGTTAGTGGGTGGGCGTTGCCCCAAATTTTTTCAAAGTGGTAGATACTAGCAC